AGAAGCAGGAAGCTGTCTCACCACAGAGGGAATGTCCTCTTCTTATCCCTGCCCATGCGGTTTCTGTTAATGGTTGTTGAGCACGGCACGGCATCCAGGTGGTGAGAGCTGTTGGGCAGCGTTGGCACCCACTGGTTGTTCCTCTTGGCCTTCTGTTCTCTGAAGAAGGGGATTGTATGTTAAACTGCAGCCCTTGAACAACACTGCTACTAAAGGAATGGCACCGTTTTAAACTTTCAAAGTCCTATTATGTGTTCTTGCTATTTTATTCTGGAACTCTAAACAACACTGTTCCACTAAGTCATGTTCCACACCAGCCCCTGGGAAGCCCATTCTCCAGCTATAACTCCAGGTGCACCACTATAAATACTAAGTTCATATTTGGATTTTATGTCTGTATTTTATAAAAGGACTGCTGAGAAATGCAAGGTCTCCAGAAGGCAGTACGTGCAGAGAGCGTGTTCTGGAAAACATCTGGTACAGCTGGAATGCAGTGATTTCAAAAAGAGCTGTATCATCAAACATTTATGTTTTTCTTCCTGTTGTATGTGGGCAGTAACCCAACCCTTCTGGAGATCTTCATTTGCCCAACACTGCAAACAACTGTTAGCACAGAGTGGCAAGCACCCCCAGCACAAGGACCTGGGTTTATGCAACTTCTCATGCTCCCTGCCCAAGCTGACATCTTCCAAGCAGCTCCCTTCTGATCTTGGCCCTCACTGATGCTGGTTACCTGAGGTAGGTAGGAGGTTCTGTGCTGATAGACACTGCCTTATACTTCTCATCATTTCCATCCAAGATCTCTTCCACTTCAGAGGCCTTTAACAGCGTCACACTAGTGGCTAATGTTGTATAGCCATGATCTATTATCAGGAAAGATGCACATAAATAACATGGAAAAGTGTTATACAGCAATGTAGCATTAATAGGCTGCATGGTGAAAAGCTCCCCTGTTGCTGCAGAAGGGACTAACATCAGTTACCAAGTGGTACAAGTGTGTGCCCCCAAAGTTCTGTGGCTTCATTTATCTTCTTGTAGAAATTTAACTTTCAAAAAAGGTTTTGCCATGGCATTTTGTACACATGGGATAAATGGAGATGACAGAACTTTCCATTGTCATTTCCAAGTTGCCAAAGCCTCCACATTTCCTTACACACCAAGATGCTTCACTGCTGGGGTAGGTTACTTGCACTGGAGTAGGTTACTAACACTGGAGTGACCAGAAGCCTAGCTACAGTGCCTAGCCTGGCACTAAAGAAACATAATTGGGTTTTGACTTCCATCTAAACAGGAATAAACCTGACTTTCTTGGGAGCAGGAGTGGAATGTCTTAGTTAATGTATAGCAATCCCCACCACAAAGCCAACTCAAAAGACAAAAGTAGTACAATACCTTGGAACGGGTGCATAATGTTAGAGCCAAGATTTGCAAAAGGGATCAGTATCTCTTTACCTTGTACATCTTTCCTGTTCATGCTCTGTTAAAAACATCTTCCACTGGGACTAAAGAGTCAACACACAGGGAGGGCTAGAATTACAGGAGCTTCTCTCACATACTACCACTGGATGAACCTCCTTTATCCAGGGTGCAGTTTATGCATAGGCCCTGGTCATTTCTGCTGTGGAATTTACTTAAGATGGAAAGCAATGCCACAGAGCCAAAATTTCAGGAGAAAAAGTCAACTAATTATTATCTAAATTTTGAATCTAATGTGATTTCACTTAAGGAGAGGAAGAAAAACAATTCTTTCCTACCCAGAGTTGCCCTTTGCAATGACAAAGTTTAGCTCTGCACACCTACACCTGCCACAATGATATAAAAATCTCTTCCATAGCCTTCTGGGAGAAAAAGCCCAGAAAACAATACATCCTCAGTGGATTTAAAGGTTAGAAATAGAGAGGCAACAATCAATACAGAAGCTGGTAAGACTTGGGAAAGGGGCAGAAACCTCAGGACAGCTCTGGCTGAATTACAGAGACCATCTGCATTTGAGAGTCCTGCCAAGGTTCTGAGAAAAACTTCAGCACATGATCAGATGCACAATTAGGGCAGCCACAGAAAGAGATCAAGAGGAACAGGATTAGACAATAATATATATTCTAATAGCACAAAAGGTCGCAGTGGAGATTCTTCTAGCGCAGCAAAGATTAACATGCAGATAAGACTTACATCTTCTGGGACTGTGAGACCGCTGGTTTTCTGTTGGGGAATAAAACAAGAAAAGAAAGCAACAGGTCAGCAGGATACTTGGAGGAAGGAGACATAAGTCCAAAATTAACCCATATTTTTATTATGCTCTAGTCTAAAGAGCATACAACAAATCACACTGCTGGGAAATTTAACTGCTGGTTATTAGTCTTGCACCAAAAATAATACCGAGGCATATTCTCACTGTGGCAGTCACATCAGCAGCAATACACCACAGCAAATTCTGGCAGGCATGAACATTCAGTCCCTGCAAGAAGCAAAGTTAAGCAAACACACACATTTTCAATGTGCCATCCTCACAACATTCCTGCCTGCTTGACAAAAGACACAAATATGCCCTCTTTGTCAAAAAAAAACCCACCTCTTCTGAAACATGGTATCGATTTTGAGATGTGGCTTTTGCTTTATGATGGATGCAGCCAGCCCCAGGAAAGCCATGATCGGTGTTTCCATTTTAGAACATTTTTGATCAGTTGATGGTTGGTGCCAGGCCAACACAAGAGCTACCAGTGCCACCACTGCAGAGGGCTCCATCACTGGAGCAGCCTGAGGCCACTCACGCAGCCCTCAGGGTGCACAAGTTTCTGAGTCACCAAAGAGCTTTTCAAGGCAAAATTTCAGGTTTCATATAACAATACTGGAAATGTTTACTCATCTTCTCACCATGTGAAGAGGCCACTATCTTCTTCCTTTCTTCCACTGTGGCTAGTCGCCTCCAGAGTGAGGGGTATCTCTTGTACAGGGAACCCCGAAACATACGCAAGTAGTTTCCCACCTACAAGAAGAGAAGTGGAGACGTGGCTGGTGTTCCTGTGTGGCCTGGTGTTCCGCTCAAGAGATTTTTGTCAGAAGCTGAAACAAATTTAGCTTTTTGTGATGGTAAATGGGACATCCCAAGAGGATTTTTGTAGGGTTTTTTACGACATACTGATATACTGGGTTTGGCATTGTGGGGCACCACAATTTTCATGGCAATACGGAAAACTATATTCTGTATTTCACTAGTCTGATATTAAAAATTTCCATGCACTGATAAGCCATTTAATAAGGAAAAGAATCCATTCCTTTTCATGTAGTTTTGAACAACCTAGCCTTTCTTTACCTCTATTTCTGTTTCAAGGCACAACGATCAGTAGGAATTAAATCAAACCGGGCACCCAGCTTGCTCACATTCCAGCTTTTACTTCAAACCTCTGTGCCGTGTAGACATAGCTCAAATACAGCAAATGCCCAGAGACGCGTATTTTGGTTTAAATCCTTGGCACATGCAAAATGTGATCACTGTTAATAATCCTCTTTCAGATTAGTTTACCATCTGTAAAGCAGTTCTGCTCTTCCTGGTACAAGATGCTCACCTGTGCTGAGGGCTACAGCAGAACATGCTGAACAACAGAACTATTTCTAGTCTCTGAAATCACATTTTCAGACTGGCAGCATATTGACAGGCTGCGACAGAGTAACACTTTTATTCCTCATCTGACAAGGCTTATTTTGATCTTAACTTTTATTTGCAGGTAATTTTTAATCACATCTTTTGCTCCACAGTGCTAATCAGCAGAAATTATCGGTAGATGAAGAAAGTAACACGTTCTCCCCTTCCATGTGCCTGGCATGGCAATCTCCCAGACTAGCTACTGAAGTTACAGTCAAACTCTGTGTTTCACGTGAGAGCACGAGAGGCTTTTAGTCCCTGCTCAACCCATACAGCTGCCCGTTTAATTTATCCAATATTCCCCTGTTTTGTATCAAGGGGTGGGGGGGAAAACCATGCTTCTTGCTTCAACGAGGCTCGTCTTCAGGCCTGGCTCTGACGGTGTTACCGAGCACCAAGGCCGCTCTGCCACTTTACTACCTGGCGGCACGTCAAAGAATCCGAATCTCTGACCAAACCCGCTACATAAGTCCCCGGCAGCGCACCGGGGAGCGGGGCCTCGGATCCCGTCTCCACGTACTCCAGGAGCGGCCCTCGCCGGGAGCGCTGGTCCCGGCCCGGCTGAGCCCTGCGGGCCGCGGGAGGGGCCCCGCGGGGGCTGGAAGGCTGCTCCCCGCCACGTCCCGACGGGTCTCCCCTCTGCCCGCCCACCCCGAGCTCAGTCCCCCGACAGCCGGCGCGGCGCGGCGCCCCGCGGCCTCCCCCGGGCCGCACCTCGGAGCCGATCATGTAGAACTCGCCGTCCTCCTCCAGCTGGAACTTGACGGGCTTCTGCCCGAAGGTCTTGCTCAGCGCCATCATCATCATCGCGGCGGCGGCGGCAGCGCCCGGCGTCCTCAATGGGGGCTGCGGAGCCGGCAGCACCGAGCCAAGCAACGACGGGCGGCGCCGCGGCCTACTCCAGCCGTCGCGGCGCGCATGCCCCGGCGGCAGGCGGGACGCGCTGAGGGGCGGTGCGGGCAGGCGGCGCTTAGGAAAGAGGCGGTTTATTGGCACTTAAATACAGGCAGGGCGCGGAGCGGGGCTCACACTGCGGACGGGGGGACGGGCAGCGCCGTACCGGCGCTTACAGTAAGCGGGGCGGGGGTCATCCTCCGCGACACCGGCCCGCTCGCTGCGGTGACTCCAGCCGGTCTCCCCCCCCGGGCGGGGATGGCGAGGGGCACGGGTGCGGTGGAAGGGGAGAAACCGGCCGCAGCGTCACTGGGGTTTCGGCACAAGGTCATGTAGCAAAGAGGGGTGTTCGGTGTCAGCGGCGTGTGAGCAACCCGGGATGGGGACCCGAGCTCCGTACTAGCAGGGGGAGCAACGGGGCAGTGTCCAGCACTGGCACCCAGCACCGTGGAAGGAAGGGGGGCCCTTGTCTATATACAAATCCGTATAAAACCCTAACGCGTACTAGTCATACAACACAAAACCAGGAGCAGGGCTGCGGCAGGGTCTGTCGGTCTCCGCTGCAGTCCCGGGGAAGTGACCCTGGCAGCAGCCGCACGTCTGCGCTCCTCCGCAGGTGCAGTCAGTGTCCGTCAAAGTCCCCGCCTGCTGCCAAGGGAGCGCCTCGGTGGAAGCCCTCCTCCCTCCCGGCCCGTGCCTGGAGCAGCAAAGGGCTGCTGTTATGAGCTGTGTAAACATAGGAAATGCCGACTGATCGGTTCTGCAGGGTGGGGTCCAGGTTGGTTAGGAGAGTATAATCCTGTTCCAGGCTAGCTTGATGACTTTTGGGATGCTATTGCTAGAAGAGCATGGCCACATTAAGGATTTAGTGGCCGCTCTTGCCTGCAAATAACATGGCAAATGCTTTTACATTGATAGCAACTGAAGCTGGGGCTGCTGGAACTGGAGAGGGGCAAACTTTGTCACTTGTGACAGAGACCTGTTGTGTCAGATGCTGTGCCTGGAAGGAAGTCAGTAATGGCAGAGGGAACCCTCTTTGTGGCTGCTGGTGTAAGGGTGATGAAAGGGGAGTGTGGAGGACAGGCATCCCCCTCATCTGAAGGAGTTGGAGGAAGGCACACAGCTGAAGAAGTCCTGGCTGATCTGCCGTGGGTAGCCCTCCAGCACCTTCACCTGCACTGGATCAAACTTCCAGTAATCTCGGCCTCTCAGGAAATAGGCAAAACCTGTGGGTGGGAGAAGAAGGGTTAGAACAGACAGGGTCTGAATGGCACAGAGCTCTTCCCTAGCTGACAATGCAGCATGCGCAGTACCAAAACAGAGCCTGGAAGAGGCAGGAGATGCTGCTAGATTCATCACACCTGAACCCAGGCTTGTGGTATACACTGTTCTTTCACACTGCTTTAGTTTTCACAGGAGAATAAACAGGGTAGATTTTATTTTGTATTCCTAGTGATTCCTGGTACCCGTGTGGTGACATGGTCCTGGGTGAGCAGATGGTGTCTAGGATCTGAACAGGGCTGATGACAGGGAACTTGTGAAGACCTGCTGCATCTGTGACTGCAGGGAACTAGCCCTGGGATCTGGAAGCAGTGGGGAGCTGTTCCACCACATCCTTTCGAAGGAAAGAGGCAATCACTGCCCCTGTCATCCCAAGCACTCTGCCTGTCCCCAGTGTTTCTGCAGCACTGACATACTGTCTTCACTCAGCATGGGACATGTCTGGGAGAACTAGGCAATTCCAAAAGGAGCCTGTTCGTTCAGGACAGCTACTGAGGCTGGAGTGAAGCATCTCTGCTGTCCTCTCACCTCTTTCTTTGTCAGGAGCAGTAACATCTGGGTAGGAATCTGTGACCATTTCTTTGTCAAAGTTTGAATTCTCTCTATTGGACACTTAACTGTTGAATGTTGCAACTAATAATGATAAAACCCCAGAGCAGGCCATGTCCCTGCACTGACCAAACTCATCCTGAAAAGCTGCGTCGATCTCCTGAGGGACACCGCGCCAGTCAGCCATGGTCCGAGGGTAGATGTTGTCCACCTGGCGTGTGTGAGGGTGGAAGCGCCAGTAGTTGCCTCCACCGAAGATGTAGATCTTGTTCTTCTCAGCCCCCCACACCAGAGCTGCCTGTACAGGGGATGCAGGGAGGCCCAGCTCCACAATTGGAGTGGGACCAGATACCCGTCTCTCACCATCATATATCCAGTACTGAGAATCTGGTGAGGAGACAGAAAAGGGAGACAAAGGGTCAGAAGCTCTTTTTGTATCTGGTAATTTGGCAGTGAACTGGAGAACTGGAGCTGATGCCTTGTCACAGTTCTCAGGGGAAGCTGTGCCTGGGAGGCAAAAACCCCACCGGTGTCATGGACACTGTCACTGACGGGTGCTGTCAGTGCAGGGAGTTGACTTCCCACCTCAGTCCAGCCCTAAGGGTATCAGTGGTGGGATGAGCAGGACAGGACCATTTTAGCAGCTGTCTTTTCTCTATCTGTGGAAGTTATAAGGAAAGACTTGGCTGGAGGGATCAGCATCCACCCTGCAAACTCCATGCTTGGAGAACATACGTGGGCATGCACAGGCATAGAGGGGGCATGCAGCTGTAGAGGAGCAAGCTACAGAAACTAGGTAGCAATTGCCAAGCTGAAATAAAGACTGGAAGCCTCTTTCCAGATTAGATTAAAAGAGGAATCTCTGTAATTAGTCTATGGCATGTAATACTTTCCCCTTATCTCATTTTAACTCTTGGTAGGAGCCTGCCAATTTTAGCACTGTAAGTCCTTGTGTACAGGTGAGGTGCTAAGTGACCTCTTTATGCAGGAGCACTGCCTGCAGAGCCCCATGATGTGCCTTCTCGTGCTCATGGAGGGCAGACAGGGCGGGCACACCCAGGACACCTGGGTACCTTCCTCATTCTGCATCCTTGCTATTAAATTTACACTTGGAAAGAGCATTAAGGAAAACAGTGGAGCTGTCTTCTTTAATGGGATTTGTTGTTGGCCTTGAACTCCAAAGATGGCCAGGAGGAGGTTTGCCCCCACCATGGGTTTTTAATGCCTGTGGTGGCCAGAGGTTGTCTGGTTCTGCACACAGGCTCTGTGTAGTCTCATTTGGTCTTGGGGCACTAAAGAAACTCCACATGCTTGTCTCTGAGGAGCAGAAAAGATGCAGGGCCTTGAGGCACAGGCGCAGGAGTTTCACAACCAGTGAAGCTGTCTGAGGTTCTCTTCTGGCACTGATTACCAGGACAGCTGGGAAGATGCTCTGCCAGCAGCATTGCCAGGGCAAAACCTCAAAACAAATGTTTGTGTTCCAGAGAAGGAGAATGAGATATTGTGGCTGTGCATAAAAGTGACAATATCTACTAAAAAGTTTGACCTAAACAGAGAAGGAAACAAATAACAAGGATCACTGGATTGCTGAGGATGCCCAAGTTTATCTTCCCAGGAACTTGTTTGGTCCTGAATACCCCTATGTAAAGGAGATGCATTTCTGAGCTGTCTGATCCCAGTCCAGCTCTTACCTTGGAAAAACCAGATATTGCCCAGAGGGTCCTCAAAGGTGGCATCGACAGAGCTGGGGATGCCCTGCCAGTGGCGGGAGGCCAGAGCTGGGTAGCCGTCCTGCAGCTTTCCTGCTCGAAGCCGCCACACGTAGCGGGACTTGAAGAAGAAGAGCTCCCCTCGGATGGTAGACACGGCATCAAAAGCTGTGTCGCAGGCGTCGGGCTGCACTGCCTGCCAAAGCAGAATAGTAAGGGTTAGAAAGGACCTGGAGCTCATCTGGTTCCAACACCCCAGCCTGGCTGGCAGTGCCAGCAGGGAGTCCGGACCTGGACTCAAGGTGGAAGACAGACACCAAACCACATGTAAGCCTGCTGCTGGCCTCTTGGTTAGGACAGCCCCAGCTGTGGTGTTAAAGGAGGACACACAGGCTACTTGCTCACCTCTACATTGGTGATCTCATTGGTTTCAAGGCCTGCCTGGGGCAGCTCTGCTGGCTCAGTTGGGGTTGGGGCAGGATCCAGTTTGGGTTTCCCATAGAGGTACTGGATACCTTGCTTGTCATCCTCACTCAGGCTCAGCGGGTAGCGGAAGATGTAGAAAGGAGACATGAGTGACTTGGAGACAGCTGTGTGCTGCAGGCCCAGGACATGGCCAAACTCGTGAGCAGCCACTTGCAGGAGGTCAGTGCCTGCAAAGGGAAAAGATGGGAGATGCTTTTGTCTTCTTGTATGTGGGACGAATGCCTCCCAGGTTCACTTCTACCAACCAGCAGCCATTGCTGTAGGAGTCTAACACAAGGAAAGAGAAATCTGCCTCACTACAGTGCTCCCAGGTTGGTGTTCCTGCACTTCCCCTGTGTAGCTCTACACCATGTTTGTGTTTTTCTAAGGAGTAAAAGGGCATAATTAATGGATCCACTGTTTCAGGAGCACCTGAGTGAATTCATACACTCAGGTATCAGCCTGGGCATGTTGGTAATTTGCAATTCTGTCGCCAGGGGCTCCTTGCACCTCTCCAGCTACCAAGAAGAAAGGAATGCTCCGTGCACTTTTGGAAAGGAGAGATATGCACAGAGAAGGAAGTCTGGCTCATAAACATAGGTGGGGGGGTGGCAAGGTTGGGTTTTGTCCACCCAGCAGTGGTTGTCTACAGCTGGAGTGCATCGGGTCCCATTTAGGTCACGTCCACTGAACCCTCTGAGATTAGAACTTGCTAATGGCTGTTGTCACAGACAGCAGAGGGAGCTCATTTATTGCTTGTGTGTGGACTGGACTGTGTCGAGGTGACATTTAGAAATAAATCCATAAAAAGTCATCCCGTGTCAAGGCCTGGGCCTTCTTCACCTGACTGAAGTAGATTTACGGGAGATCATGTTTAGGAATACATGACCTTGGAGCATCTAGAAAAGGAGGGGGAGGTGGGGAAGTGGATTTCAGTGTGAAAAAATGTGTCATTTGGCAGGTGGTGTTTAGCTCCTAATGGATCCTTTTTGAAGTTGATAGATTTCAGGGGAAGCTGGAAGACAGGCGTATTAAGCAGCACAGCCTGCGAGCAGAGTATGTTTTTTGACAAGTCCCAGCTTATTCATTCACTCTCTTCCAGACAGAAATCCTCCACGCTGCAGCCCAAGTGATGGGAAAGGCAGGGATGTGAGTCAGGCAGCCTCACTTGCTCCAAGCAGGATTTCCCCACTGGCTCCATGGGAGCAGGTCACTTCTCAGCAACAGGACAGGATGGGATGGGATGGGGCAGGGGCAATGCAGCTGGGAGGAATGCCTGGGAAGGGCAGAGGGGAAGGTGAGCCCGTTGTTGTTCAGCTTTATATTGAACTGACCCAATTAAATCGACACATGTAGGTCAGCTGAGAAAGTGGGATTTCTGTGTCGGTGATTTATTACGAACTCTCAGACACTGTGTTTAGCTTGGCAGGCTCCTCACTTGATGCTTTCCAGTGTTGGCAGATCAGCTGTGCTGTTCTCAGATTGTCAGGGGGAGGTGAACAAGAGCACGCCTGAAGGAGCAGTGTTGGGAGCATCCCTGTGTCCCTCACGGGTCCTCTCTGTGGAGTCCCGTGTCCTGCTCAGCTCTGGGGTGACCCCAGGGCTCCCCAGAGAGGACATCTCAGGTGTCCTTGTACTTCTGGTTTCCTATCTGTAAAAATGAGGCTAAGAATTTCCCCTTCTCACTCAGAACTGAGCCAAGGATTTATCCATGTTTATATTGTAAAGCTCTTTTCAGCATATTAAATGGCAATTAGCTGCAAAGAGCTTTTACAACATTTATTTATGGAAGATGGCGGGGGGGGGGAAGGCTATGGAATAAGGCTGGATTCTGATGGGAACTGGCATCCATTTTCAGTTCTTGCTTTTCCTCCAACACTGTCTTTGTGGGAGAATGTAGGACATTCTTCACCAACACAGGCAGCCCCAACAGAGGGTGAGAGAAGGCAGAGCCCACCCTTCCTCAGGAGCAGAAATGCTTCTGCAGAGAGGTCTGGTGCCCTGTGGTTCTTTTTGGGTCAGCATGGGCAGGGTCCTGTGCCCCATGCAGAGTCAAGTTGGTGTACAACCGACAATGGCATCAACTTCTGGGAAGCCTGTCTGAGCCCTCAACATCAACATGGGCAAAACGTCTGGGAAACTCGAGAGTGAGGCAAGGGGTTAACATGGGCTTTGTGATTGGTTTTTGCCCCTGCAGATAAACTGGGAAGGAGGAGGAGGAGGAGAGCCTGACCTGAGTTAATTTTGCTGGGTCTTGCAGAAACTGATGCTTTGGGCACTGATCCAGTTGGTCCCAGGCGGCACTGCAGTATCTCATGAGATACTGTGACACTAGAGCCTGAGTGCCCCAGCACAGAGCTACCAGCTGAATCTATTATTAGCAAAAGGAAAAACCTAAAAGAGAAAAGAGTCTTGACTCGATGTGGTGTTGTTTATGGTCAGAGCATTCCCAGGCTACGGGGACACAGAGGTGGAGCCTGGGCAGTTTCCCTTTATGGACTTGTTTGAGGGCAGACGGTGAACAGTGCATGCAGGGACTGGGGCTGAAACTTCCTTTGGAAGACAACTGTGTCACTCCATGCTTGAGCCCCAGTTTCCCTTCATCCTTTCCCTCCTTTATTTCTAATGGCTCCTGCCAATGCTGGGTGCAATCCCCAGTGGTGGAGGAGTCATCTCTCTTGTTCCCCCCTCAAAGAACAGGAGGAGCCCACCAGGAAGCCAGGGTCCTGGTGCTGGACACAGGCATTGCTGTGGCTGAAAAACGACAAGGAAAGACCTGAATACTAACGTTGTGCTTGTAAGTGGGGGGAGACAACAGTGCATGCCACAAAAATGGTTGTTGCCTCTCAGTTTTACAGGGTCCCTGCTCACACCCTAATGGAATTGTTTCCAAGTGCACTGTTGAGCATCCTGGACCATCCACAGCTCTCCCTGAAACAGTACCGTACCCAGGTTGTTCCCAATCGTCCAGGTCTCGTCATAGTCAAAATGGACATCTCCCTCCCGGTGTGTCTTGGGGAAGAACGCATGTGCCAGGATCCCTCCGGGCCCGTCAAAAGGTAGGTTGTCTCCATGCCAGTACCTGGAGGGAAGGCACATTGCACCTCAGACAAACAGCCATGTACCCACAGTGAACAGCACTGTATGGCCAAAGGTGGGGAGCCACTGTGAAGGGACAGCAGCTCTCACTCCCATCCCAAGTTCATCCCACAAGTCCAGATCAACTGCTCAGAGCTCTTCTGATTGCCACAAAGCCAGTTCTGGGCACTGAGGAAGCTGAGCTTAGTCACACCAATCCCTGAGGAGTTCACATGTTTTCTCAAGGATGTTTCCCTCCTCCCGCTGTTCAGCTTCCAGCCCAAAGCTGACTGTAGAGCCCAAAGAATTAAGGAGGTGGCTGCTCAACCTAAGATTAAGTTGATTGACACAACTGTGTGGTGGGGGGATGCAGAGGGGCAGCTGGCAGCAAACCCAGCCAAATCCTCAGGTCCTCACTCAAGCCAAACCCTCTCTCGACTGATGAAGGAAACCTGTGAGAGATGCAGCTACTTTAGAGAGCTGAGGGAGGCACAGGCAAATACACAGTATGCAAATCACATCACTGCTTGGACCGTCTCCACTGCCTTTATTAGCTCTGTGAAAACACGCAGCAGAGGGAAGTCTTTGCCCCCATGCGTATTTTGCCAAAAGTGAATTTCAGGCCAGGAGCCAAGATCCATTTAACCAAGCAACTATATTTGTCTTTGGGCAGACAGTTACGTTCCATCAAGGGACAGGATGGAGGATCCGAAGACGGAAAGTCAAAACAAACACTTAAGAAAACAGCCTGTGGGCAGAGAAATGTAAATGTACCAGGAAAATTAATGAGCGATCAGTAACGGTGCTGTGCACAGCCAGCATGGGACAGCTGCACTTACACCAAGCAGCCACAACTGGCAACAAGTACCAAACCCAAAATGATCCCAGTCTCTGAAAGCAGAAACATGAGCTGAAGTTGTGTGCTGCTGGCCCTCAGCTCTGGTTAGAGCCTTGGGGTCTTCTTTGTGTGTGAGGAGGGTGCTGCTGCCCACCACGCTCACCTTGTGAAATCGATGACGATGTCAGCCCGTCCCTCCTGCACCTCAGTGAAGGTCAGCGGTGTCACGTCACTCCACACTTTCAAAGCTTCCTCAATGGTCCTCCTCACTTTAGACTTCACAAGTTGCCACGGGAACCTGATGATTCTGAAAGGCAGCAGACACTGGATGATGAGAGCATCACGTGCTGTGCCATGCACACTGCTGTCATGAAGACACTAGCTGTAGGATCAGTGCCGCTCTGTTTCAGCACCAGAACATCTCCAATCCATACAAGCACTGCTACAGCACCCCATTCCAAGCAGCATGTGCAACAGACAAATCCTATCAGTGTTGAAACCTTCTGGCTGGGGGACTGGAGGTGAGCTTTCTGGAGAGCTTTCAGAGCTGTGTTTTGCTGAAGTGCTGCAGCATTTTCCAGGTCTGTCCCCCATGAGTCCACCCCACAGAGGTGCCTGCAAGTGCTGTGATGTGATCTCTACTCCTCAATCTCTGCATTTATGTCCCTGGAAATTGGGCTCACTCAGAGCAGCTGCTGCATCTTCTCCCCTCCTATACCATAAGCAGACTGTAAGATGTGCCACAGAGGGAGCTTTCTTTCCCTTCCATTAACGCTGTTGGGGATTGTTAGTCTCTGCTGTGGTTCTTTCTTTAATACAGTTGACCAAAAAAACCCAGACACCTTTCTGTTACCTACAGACCCCTAATACCATGAGGAACTGTCTCCTGCACTTAATTAAACCAAAGATGGATTACATGCTGTCAAGGTCCATATGAGTGTGCTCACTTCTCCGCTCATGCCCATGTGGGCAACTGGGGAGGCAGCACAACCCTCCTGCGAGCCTGTTGAGCAAATCTGCAATTGAGGATGTGTCGGGTGATCAGGGCAAAACTTCACACTGAAGTTGTGTTTATGGGAACATCGCTAACAGCCGAATAAAAAGGCCTTTGTAAAATAAACTGTGAGGTGAGCCCACGGCGGGGCGGCTGTGGGGGCAAAGGCACAGCGGGAGAAGGCTGGTGGTGGAGGCTCGGCTTGGTTTGATGTAGGGAAGGGAATGCACAGGGGTGTTGATGCACAAGGGACTGACTGAGGGGTGATGCAGAATGTGAGGGGTGGGTGGGCAGCTGTGTTTATGGCAGTGCGTGCAAGAGGGGATGTGGAGGTGCTGGGTGCGATGCTGCTGGTGGTGCAGTGTGTGGCTCCCCTGTTCCCTGGCTGCCCCCTGGTTACATCAAAGCATGCCACGCTCCTGCGGCCATCAGACTGAGAGGTTTGGGGGAGGGAGAAGCAAACCAGCCTGACTCCCAGTTTGGAGCTCTCTTACTTGTAGGTGAGATCAGTCTTGTCCCAGCGCCCACCAGAGAGGACAAATCGCTTCTGCCGGTTCCGCCCGTTCTGTCCGTCCGGCAGCACCGGGAGGTCTGGAACGCCACACCGGGGCGGGTTCCAGCGCACCGCTGGCTCATCTGCATTCACAGGGAAGCCCTTCATAGGCACACCGGTCCCCACAGTGTTCACCAAGGAAGACAGCCAAGGACTCTGCTCCTTCCAGGTGTGATGCTTTCGGGACACGTCCTGAAAGGAGAAAGCAAAGCCACAACTTCAGTGACTGGGGAAAGGTGTCCTGATGCAGAGTGGTGAATGCCCACCCACAGCAGTCCTGCAGTGGTGAGTTCCACCCCTGCCTGAGGCTGTTCCCCTGCTACTGGGGCACCAACTGCTCCCCACAGGCATCCTCCATTCCCTGGGCCGTGCTGCTCCAAGCTAGATCACACCTGCAAGGCACTGTGTTGTGTCATGCCATGGCACCCCCTAAGCACTGGGCTATTTTTGGTCCACTTTTCCTTGGCAGCTGGCTGGCAGGAAATGCTTTTCCAAGCTGTGGATGAGAACCAGACCCTTCAAGAATGAAACAAATCACTAGAGAGTAAATTCCACCCCTTTACCACACAACCTTTATTCCCTCCTGGACACGAGTAGAGGTGACCCATGACTCTGCTTGGGGACAGGATCACCTGGATTAGGTGGAAAAGCACAGCTCCTCTTGGCAACATTAACTGATATTAATTAGCTGACTTCCACTGATTCCCCACCTGACAGCAGGACTATGGGGCCACCAGGAAACATGACTCAAGTGTCCCTGCAGTAAGGCATGTGGGGTGAGAGGTGCTTGCTCCCTGTCTCACCATGCGGACCAAGCCAGAGGTCCAAACACAGATCTTTTTTTGCCTGATTCTGTGCAAGCAAATTTAAAGGTGCTTGAGCAGCAGGAAGAGCTGAGATGCAGCAGGAAGAGCTGAGATGCAGCAGTGATACAACAGGCAGGCAGGCTCCATCCCACAGGGCTCCAGGGTGAGGACCTGGGGTTTAGGGGTCCCTTTCCTTCCCCTGCAAAGAGCTTCTTCCTGACCAGCTCTCCTGGCTGCCTTGCAGGGGACACAAAGGTCAGGATGGCATGATGCCAGAGCTGCCATGACGCCGTGTAATCCACGTGCTGCCACCACTCTGTTCTCTACAATGAGCCCATTCATGCGGGCTGGAATGAAGTGTGAAGCCCTTGGCATTAATTCCGCTACTGAGCTCCCAGCTCTGCAGTGGCCCCGTGCCTCTGAGCGATGCACAGATGGACAGAGGAGCCAGGGAGGTCACATAAGGTGCAGTTTAGGTGTCCATGTGTCAGTTTAGGCTTTTCGTGTGTCTGTCACCACCCCAGCCTGCTGGCTTCTCCCCAGCCGGCCAGACACCCTTGGTGGCTGCCAGCCTTTGCCTTAGAAACCATCGACACAATTCTGGTGTCCCAGTGCACTTCCACACAGCGCAGGAACCACACCATCAACATGTGAAAAGGAGGAAACCCATTTTACATCCTGAACAGCAAAGCCTACCCAAGCCACCAGCACTGAGAATCCCTCCAGTGCTTTAGTGGAAGGAGGGAATATGAGCTGGCCTGTCCCAAGGGAGTCTGCACCTGGTGAAGGCTGGAGCCCAGGCAGCTCCAAGGTACCTGTCTCTCCAAGGGGAGCTCTCTGAGAGTCACCTGGCGCCCTGCCTGGGCTGGCAGCTACTGCCTGCAAAGTACAGCTAGCAGGAGAGGCTGATAACGTTCATGTCCTGGCCAACATGCTGCTTCGAGCCCTGATGAGACCTTCTGCCAAGCACATAATGGCAGCTGTGACACCAAAGCCCAGCCTGGAGGGACACTCGGCTCCTTGCTCCTACATGCACCAGAGGCAGGTCCTGTCACTAGAGGACACAGGGTAATTAACGTGTCTCATTTCCCAGGACCAGGAAGTGCAGGACAGCTGCTCAGAAGCACATGGGGAGAGTGGAGATGGACCCTGGGGACAGTTCTCACTGTGGAACCGGGAGCACTGGGAAACCCTCAAGAGTTGTCCAGGTAGGTGAGCCAGCTGAGCTGACCCAGATGGTCTTAGTCCTGTTTTTTTTTGTCTTGGCTATGGTAAGCACATCCCTTTGGTCTCCCAGGAAGGTCAGTTGTTGCCTTATTGGCTGGGGGCACTGGCATAAACTGGTGACTGTCCTCCCAGCCAGAGCACAGAGAGGAGGAGCTGCCTCTCTCTCACCCTGAGGGATCCCATGTTCAGAGAGAGACAGAGGTAGGTTTTCTTTCTCTTCTTTGGTTAGCTCAAGGCAACTGGCATTAATCCCAGCTTCCAGCCATCCAAACCCCACCTTGCCTTAGGCAGGACCCTCCCTCCTCCTGCCTGCCAGCCCTTGCCAAGATCCATCCCTGAGGGGTCACAGTGTGGTCCTCTGAATGGCTCTGGGTGGAGGCAGGAGGCAAGACCTGCCCGGCTGCCCTGTGTGCTCACTGTGCCCCTTGTGCCCCTAGACAAACAGTGAGTTTCTCCTTGTCGTCATTGCACCAACATTAGCACCATGGCAGGAAAGGGCTGGAAAATGCCACTGCAGGCACAGCCAGCAAGGGGAAATGTGACAGGCAGAAACCACTTGCCAAACAATGCTCAGGAGACACATCAGGCTGGAGATTTTGGTCTCCTTGGCTGGACACACCTTGCTGCAGGCACTTCCCAAGGCTTAGATAACATGTCCTCTCACTTAAGGTTGCATCCTTCCCACCCAGTGCTGAACCCACCCTCTCCTGGGCAGGTCCTGCTTTGCTCTCCCAAGCTGTGGGATAATGTCCCAACTGTATGCTTAGGGGGTTGCTTTGGGCTGTGCTGCTGCTAGAGCTAGTACAGGCCTGTGTAGAGAGGATGAGGAGGGCACTGGCTGCTGGGTAACTATCAGGGCATCCTCACTCCTCCCATCCCACCACCAGAGGGGAGAGGATTACTGAAGACAAAAAGCAAAGGAGAATCCCTGCATCCCAAGTCACAAGCATTCAGACCAGCTGAGTGCAGAGCTGGATTGGAGCCTCTAGCTAGTGTGCAGACACTTACACTGCCGTTCCCAGTATAACCCACAGCTGGGGTGGCTGCTGTGCATGGAACAGACAGATTTTAGCCAAAGGAAGAGGCCAGGGCTTTGCAATAGAGACTGAGCAGTAAAATGTCTGCACAACATGAGTGCAGAGGGGCTGCCTGAAACAAAGGCTCAAGGGCAGCGAGGACAGCAGAGGAGCAAAGCTATACAAAAAGAGGGCTGTGCTGCAGGCTGGCCACAGCTCCTCACAAAAGAAGTGCCTCTTCCTCAGCCTTGTGACCAAAAAGCTAAGAGGGAACAGGAGGCAAAGGACAGATCCCATGGGAAAGCAGAAACCACAGCAGAGGTACAGGCTGCCCACTCAGTTCTTCGCAGCTTTATCAGACCTCAAGTGCTGCGATACAAGCAGCCATCACTTCTGGTCTGCTGAGGCCAGATGAACACCAGCCAAGCTTCCCAGGAAGTGTCCCAGCCACCCCGAGGAGCCGGGATCATCTTTAACCTCATTGTGTTGGGCAGCATTTGCCCTCCAGAGCCTCCCAGGAGGAGAAGCAGCTACAACACCATAGCTGCAGTGGAGAATAACCCCAAGAGTGAGGCTAGTGCCTCGTACTGACAAACCCATTGCTCTTGTCTGCCTGGGTCCATCCTCAGCTGCCTGCCCTGAACTTAAACTTGTCTCCTCTGTTGCGTACCTAATTATCTGAGCTCCTGCCTGCTTCTGCAGCACAGACATGAAAGGAGAGCCCCTCTCCCCATCAGACAGGAGTGACTGGACAAGTTATAACAAGAATCACATCAGTCTTGGATACTTCCCCTCTCATTGGGGGCTGTTTCCTCTTCTGCTAGGGGATGATCTCATGGGTTTTCTCCCCATCTCCCTGTCCCTCTGCTGCTACTTTTCCATCTCTCCCCACTTTCTTCCTCTGTTACTCAGTGTTTGTCAAGGCACTGATATTTGCTGTCTCTTTGGCTAGTAGCATTAACCTCCTCCTACCTCTGAGCCTGCACCTCAGAGCACTCCTGCCCTTGGTTCAACCCATGGGGAAGGAGAGCAGAGATGTTTTCTCCTGCAGTTCTCATGTAAGATAGCTCTCTCACCCTATTTCTGTCCACTGACGGGTTGCTGTGCCCCCCAGGAGCTCTACACCACATTAACAAGCTGCAGCAATATTGCTGCCTGAGATCAGCACTGTCGCTCATCCTGATGCACAGAGTACCATGGCCAGATTTGTGGCCAGCCTGCCTCTCAGCCCAGCATGGATTTGCAAGGGGTGGATTTGAAAGTGCAGCTACAGCTGATGGTTGGTGGTAAAACTGGAGCCAGCTCCACTCTAGTCAGGTTGTGTCCCAGAAGCAGGCTGGGCTCAGAAGGTGCTAATGCTGCAGATGAAATCTCATGGCAAGAAACAGATCATGTCTGTGGTCTGGTCAGACCCTGAACCAAGTGTGCTGCTGGTCAGGGCACTGTTAGTAGAAACAATGGAAACTTGGTGGAAACAATGCTGAGGCAAAGCCACCATATATATTGATCCTACCTCCCCCAGAACAAGGCAGAGTCTCCCAACCCCTATAACTATGAATTCTTTGCTTACACTTCTCCTACAAGACTGGCTCCTTCATGCTGGGCTGCAGTCTCATGCAGACAGAGGCACGGAGGATGCAAAGGCTGAGGCCAAGCTTAGGCTAAACGAGGCCAAAGAGGAGGTGCTGCAGCGCCTGGCCATGCATACACAGTTGGAGGTTCCCCTCTGCTTGCTTCCCATACTCGGTGGCACCATCAAGCCCTACCTCCTGGGGCCTGACAGTTTGTTTCTGGATTATTTGGTGGTAGTTGTTGTTGGCAACGAAAAAAGGAAAATGTTTATTTTTCCTAAGCAACACGGAACATGAAACATAATGGACTGCAAATGTTTATGCCCACAGACAGAATGAGAAGACCTAGGCTCTGATGTTACAAGAGAAAGCAAATGAATAAACACTGCAGGACTATTTTTATTATCAGACACTTTAATTACGTGACAGTTTGTGAGTGTACTCCATCAACAACACCACAGCCAAGCTGCTGGTGTCACCCAAGCAACAGTTTGCCAGAAACAGGAGTACTTACAAAGCAAACAAGCCCCAGGATGCCAGGAGAGCAAAAGGTCTCAAGAGCCCGTAATCTCATGACCTAGAAGTCCCCTTGAAACTAAGAAACCACTGTAGGATGTGGCACACTCCAGTCACAGGAGAAAGAAGGCTGAGATGTTTTGTCTGCTGTGCAATTACATCCAAGCTAAGGTGAGCAACGAGCTATCACTGCCCAAGGACAGCAGCCAGGACATGTCTCACTGTGTACAGCCTCCTGGCACAGTGCAGCCCTCTCCAGAGCTGTGGGGAGATGTTCTACCCTTAGGGAGTTTGTGCTGCTCAGATGCGCAGGTTGGGATCTCCAAACCACAAGACAAGCACTGCTCCCCTGCTCAATCTGCTGGAGATGTCTGCAGGGTTTTCCCCCACTGCTAATTTTCACAGAGGGTGACAGATCTCTCCTGCCCAATTCCCACTAAGGGCAGGAGGTCTGGTCACCTGTCTGTCCTTTTGGGTCTCATCTGCACCAGAATCTCAGTGAACCTCTGAAGTGCTCTGCTTTTTATTTTGCTGGACAGTTATGTGCAGACTCAGCAGTGCTTCCCTTCATACTACAGGCTGAGACATCCCTACTGTAAGAATATCCAGGAACCCTTCATTTACCTGTCTGAATATTTGGAATTAGTAGGAAAAAGCTGACAGTGTCTCTGGTGGGAAAAGTCCCTGCAGGAAAAGAATAAGTGCCCCCTTCCCCTGCTGAGCCCCCCCCCCCCCCGGTTACAGTGCCTGGGCAGGATACACATGGGGGAAGCAAGTAAAGAACTGGAGTGGGGGATTCTCCCCAAAGTGCTTCTCTGCTCCCTGCTCTCTCCTCCCTCCCCGCTCAGGTTTGCCAGCTGCACACCCCAAGCCTTGCCACAGTGCAGGGTGTGCGTGTGTGTTGCATGTAGAAGCACAAACACAACAAACCCACTGGAGAATAACTGCTTACATGTGTCTTGAGTTTGTCTCAGAGCAAAGGATAAACATGCCTAAAATTACCCCAACACTCATGCAGTATTTAAATAGCCAAACCATAGAGTGCAAATCAAACCCTTCCTGCGGGAGCTGCCCGAGCCCTGAGCAAGGCAGGAGGCTTCCCGGCTCTGGGGCTGTGGGGAAGGCAGCACCATGATTCCAAGGGGGAACCTGCTGGGCTCAGGGCAAGACCTGCAGGATACGGCCCCTGGGAGATTACGCTGGCAGCTGGGAGGGTGCCCAGCACTTCTCCACTGAGAGATAGTTTCCCAGCAAATGGACTGACTGTGATTTCCCCGGGGAGCTGAAAGCAATGCAGGAATTCGTTGTCTGCGCGTGCACTGCCCTGAGGACTGCAGATCTTTTGTTCTCAAGTTTTACAGTGGACACCAGACACAGCCTGCATTCTGCTCTCAGTTTTCTCTTTCTTTCTTTAGGCATTAATGTAAAAATGAAGGAGATCTACAGGGTTTGCTACAAAGAGCACAGGTCCTTCTGCAACTTGCCCTGTGTAGCCTGGCTTTAAAATGAATCTTAGCCCTTGATTCTTTCTCCCTTCAGTTACTGCTGCTGTGACTTGTTACGGAGAAGTGAATAGACACAGTGCAGCATCCTGTCCTTGTCCACCCCATCTACTAGCACAGCTTGAGGAAGTCACTGTTATCTGTCTTGTAGGAACGTGAGTCTCTTTACCCAGCTCAGCCTCTCAGCTCCTTTCTCATTCATCACCCAACAGCAAAAGGTGCCCAGACAGGAAATCAGCTGCTGTTAGACACAGGGAAACATCTCTTTGTGTAGACTCAAAGTAGCCAGTGAAGTAAACACGCAATGGCATGCCAGAGGTCTCTAGTAAGAGAGAGTAGAGAAGGGCTGAGGGCAGAAACACATGTACAGGGCACTGTCAGCCCAGCAATCCCACCTCTGCCATTCCATGCTGACATCTGTACCCCAGCTGGGAGAGGAATGGGGCGCGCTGCTGTCAACTTTTGTCGTATGTGAGAGCAACCACTGTAATGCTGGCCTCAGAGATAGTAGAATGACCTTCAGAAGCCTTGACAGCAGACAGGGAACCCAAAAGGGCAGCTATTTGGGATAAGAGACCTGCTATTTGGAAGGCTGGGAAATCATCTGTCCAGCTCCAACCCCAAACCAGCGCAGCCACTATCTCTGCAAAGACCGAGTGGCACACATTGATCTGAAACCCCAGCTCCGCAAGGCTGGTGAGACACATGAGCACAAGGTGTTCCTGAACAAAACATACCTGAAGTAGCATGACCTGGAGTTACTGCAGCCAAAAGGAAAGTATTAGTACTCACAACACACTAGCCTGAGATGAAGAACAAACCATCTCTGGGCAGCAGACTGCCAGCTGGGGGGACCTTCTTCAGAAGCATGGTGGTGGATTAGGTGGACCAGGAGCCTGAGCAGACCTGGACCCCTGCATAAACTCTGTGCTCTTCAGCAGTTCGGTGTATTTCACCCATTTAAGGGGCACTGGCCGAGGCAAATGAGCCCCAGCAGCCTCTGCAGTCAGTCAGCAGCTGCGAGCACTGGTGAAAAGAGATGAACAGTGCACATAAAAGCTGAACCAGACCCAAGATCAGGCAGTGTGAAACCTGGGCTAGCTCTCCCTTCCTTGGGGATCCCACAGAGGTCCTTGCTGGCAGCAAGACCAGGACCAGAGGCTGAGCAGGTCCCTGCAGGAGCAGCAGCTTCACAGCTTGCACACAGCAGAGCACGAAGCACTATGAGCCCAACAAACGTCCCGCAGGAACCGGTGGTCTCCAGCTTTCCACAGGTGGAGCTCTGCCCTCCCAGCCCACCTCTGGCTGCACTCAGATGAGGATGAACTCTGCAGAGCAGCGTGGTGGCCGGGATGCAGTGTACTACCACCCGAGAGCTCAGTCTCACCTTCCTCAGGCGCTGAGTGGAGCCAAGCGCAGTGACATGTCATTTGGAATAACACAAGCGCTTTGGGGGCCAAGGCTGTGCTGTGCCAAGTCCCAGCCCACAGCATATTTAGCAGCCAAGTTAGAAAGCACTCAGATGACAGAGCTGATAATAAAACCATCGACAGAACCTGAACTAATCCCCCTTGGGCTGCTACCGGGCATTTACTCTGTCACTATTTTATAGCACACCAGCAAAGTGCGTGTACATAATAACCCAATTACACACACACACATTCCCGGCACAAGGAGCTCTCTGTCTTCTCCTTGTCCCCTGAACCTCTCGCTGCTCCTTTCCAGCAGTCCCTGCTGCTCGCAGCTCCATCCCAGGTGCTGGGATCTGGCAGGCTTATGCAGGAAGAAAGAGCCCTGCTGCTCCCCTTCTGCTGCGCGTTGGATTCACCCCTTGAGCCTCGTCTCCTCGTAACTTCTCGGCAGTGCCCGCACAGCAGGCGGGGGGGGGGGAGGATTGTTTGCAAACTCCGCTGCCTTTAAAGGAAGGGGGGATCCCGGGTCCTCCCGTAAACACTCCTTGTCCCGGCCCCTGTTTTTCCCTGGCTCTACAGAAAGGACGTGCCCACAGGAGCCCGCGGAGCGGTGGCACCCCCAGAGCAGGGACACCCGTGATTCCCGGCCGCCCGTACCGGCATCCCGAGGGCCATCTGGGGATGGACAGGGAGGGCGGCTCACCCCGCCCAGCGACATACTGCCCGCGGGACAAGGGGGGACACCACGGAGAGGGGAAAGGAGGCACCGGCTGATCCCGACTCACCGGCTTGTGGCGGCGGGCGGGCGCGGCGGGCGCGCAGTGCAGCAGAGCGGCGGCCAGCAGCGCGGCGGCGGGCAGCGGCGGACGGGCCATGCCGGGCGGCGGAGCGGGATCGGACATGGGGTAAAGGGAGAAAGGGGGGGGGGTTCCCCGTTGAGCCTTTTATCCCCCCCCGTGGCCGCCTGCCCGCCTCCCCGCGCCTCCTCCCGCTCCTGCCTTTTGTTCTCCCCAAGCCGTAGCTCTACGGGCCGGGGGGACACGGCACGGCGGCATCGCGGGAGGGGGGGGGTCCCGCCCGGCCCGCCCCGTTCCGCCCCGACGGCGTTCGGCGTCTGGGCGGAGCGGGGCGGGACGAACGGGACCCCCCTCCCGCCCCTGGCCTCCGTGCAAGCGGGTCCCGTTGCTCCCCCGGGGGTGATACTTTGCCTCGTCGTCGTGGTTTTGCATCTGCAGATGAGGGAGCAGCGGCTGGAGTCGACTAAGTCAATGCTTCCAGTCCTGCAACTGTGTTCTGTCCTGTTTGGGATGGCTTTAAACGGGTCACTTTAAAGGTGGCTTTCATCTCTCCTGCCTAGGGGTATCCAGGACTAAAAGCAATCCTTTTAGACCCTCTTAGGCTGCTCAGTTCCCATGGGGAGCATCCGTGCTGAAGCCATGTATGTGTCTAGCCCTTTGTACCATTTCCTAGAAGGCTTTTGCTGTGCTGGATGCTGAGGGAAGGAAGAGAGCAGCTCCCCATTTTGGAAATACCGATGCCTCCATCTGCTCCGCCACCTGGAGATGGAGGCAGCAATGCACAGATCTGGTTTCTTGGTTCCTGTTTCCATGAGAGAAGCCCTGGACTGTGTTAGCATCTCCTCAGTAGACTGAGTTTAGCTGCAAATTGTTTCAAGAAATGTATGCAAATAAGAAAACTTTGATCTCCAGCTGCCTGAGCTGGCGTGCAGGGAGTGGGTAAGGCTTCCTGACATCTCAGGCTCTATTATTATCATGTTGTTCATGTTTTGTTTTATGGGAACCATACTGAGGATGTAAATACTGGGTACGGTAAGCAGATGTGAGAAGGAGCCTGGTTGTGGCTGTGCTTGGAAGGTGCTGCTGTGCTCCTGTACCGAAGCAGTGGGTTTGGTCCATCCCTGAGGCCACACTTGTGAGAAGGAAAGGGAAGGAGGGAAAAAGCAGAAGGGAAGAAGCAAGGCGTTGGTGTTCATGGGGCTCAGACTTCACACTGTGAAATCTACCCTTTTCCCTCTATTCCGGCTGTGCTGTGGGAATGCACAGCAGATCCTGCTTTCCTGCCTTGCTCTGAGCCAGACAGCTGGGTCCGAGCAAGAAAAGCTTTCCTGCCTTTGTCTCTCTTTTCTTTAGTGTTTCTTCTAATGCCGGTGTCTCTGGGAGCTCAGTGCTTTCCAGCTCATGGCAGTGGAGCCTGCTGGTGCCTGGGGAATTTGGGGAGAGGCACGGGAGCAGCATATGAAGCAGTGACAGGCAGTTTGGCTCTTCTTAATACAGGGAGATTTTTGAAGGGGATGTTGTGGGAACCATGGTGCTTGAAGAGATGGGACTGTGTATGAGAGCTGCTGGCTCCTGCCAAGGCTCTTAGCACAAAAGAAAGTGCATGGTGTGTTTGGGATCACAGGTATTTCCCAGGTGAGCAAGTAGATGTTCAGGAGCCAGAAAATGGCCCATTGGGTGTTTTGGGGCTTGTGTGCTCACCTTCTGCAGAGAGCTCTATATGCAGCCTGCAAAAGTCCTTTTGCTAGTGCTGCTGTGCTGGGAGGTCTCTCAGCCACTGCCTGTCCTGCCTGTGCAGCACTCCTCCCTACCTCTGCAGTTTGGCTGCTGGCAGATGGGCACAGGGCTCCCACCCCAGCCCCAGAGCTCCAACAGCCCAACATCTCTCAGTACAGGCTCTGTGTCCTTGCTTTCCTGCCACTCCTGCCCAGGCTGGAGCCAAATATAGGGTTCAGGGGTCTCGAGATGGCCGCAGAAGCTTAGCAGAAGCCTTCATGACTGGGAGGTCCCAATGGTCACAGATGTTGCTGATACAGCATCTTCATGCATAGCTCTTGCTCAGCATCTGCCTCACTGCCTTCCAAGCCTAGCAAGCAGCAGAGCTCTCACTGGTTTTCCAGGTCCTTTTAGCCACAAGCATTAGCTCTTCTCCACTTCCCTGGTGCTTTACAGCAAGGAGGGAGCTTGTCAGTGCCTGGGCAAGCAATGTGGCATTGTAATGTGTCTCAATAGGAACCGCCAACTGGGGACAAACTCTCTCAGCAGCCCTTTCCCCAGCAGGTGTTTGGTGGAAGGAGACTGTGAGAGGGAGGAAGGGAGCACCAGGTCCAATTCTGCTCTTTCAAAGTAGAACTATTCCAGTTCATGGGCTGCTTGGGTATGAAACTGCTGTGATGCCCTTTGGACTGAGAGGAGGTGGGGGAAGAGGTCTCTGATCAGAGCAAATGGGAGAGGGAAAGAAGTGAGAGAGAAACTGAATTTAAATGGATTAAGCCTTTCTTGTCTAAAGTCCTTTGTTTCCTGCCACCTTCCTGGTGTGACTTTCACAGCTGTTTTCTGTGTGGCTGGGGACATGGTTTTAGGCTCCTTGCAAAGTGAGCATGGCGTTTTACACCTTCTGGGCATTTCCCTGAGCAGCTGGAAGAGGGTCCAGGAGCCAAATCCCCAGGACCCCTTTGACTTCCCTTCTCTAATGTCTTTACTCTTCTCTCTGTAGGTGATGGCCTCATGAATCGTGGGTGCCACTGATCAGTGGGTGACAAATGGGACACATACCCATCAGGCAAGTCTTTGTTCTCACCCTTCACCTTTGGATTCCCCTTTTCTTTGGCTTTGGCACCTTTTTTTTCTCCTGGGCAGCCGAAGTGTTTGTACAGGTGATGCAAACAAGGTGCAAACAGGGCTGGGGTCATGCACCCTGAACTGCCCTTGTAAACACCAGCAATCAAGAGTATTTCTTGAAGAGGCCTTGAATTACTCAGTTCTCCCCCTCAGCTGGCAGCCCAAAGCGTGGCCATAGGCAGGGGGCAAGGGAAGGATGTGGAGTTAGGGGAAATTTGGCCTTTGGGCCTTAACTCAGAAGTGGAAAGGTAAAGTAATGTGTAAAAATGTCTGTTGGTCAGCAAAATGCTTTGCTTCAAAACTCCTTTGAGCTTTTTCAGATCTTTCTAATGAAAATGGCTGAATTGTGCAGGCTGTCCTGGATCCAAACAGTGCACCATGAAAACACCAGAATAAAATGTGTTGATTTTTTTTCCTGGACTTCAGCGTAACCAGGCCAGGGCAACATTCCCACTATGGATTTCCAGAAAGTTTTGCTTGATCCACTACTACTTATTTCACACTTACTTTGTTTTGTCTTAAAAAAAACACCTTCCTTGGCCTTAATTCTGTGTTGAACCCAGCAGTGCAGAGTGTGAAGAGGTTGGGTGCAACAGATGAAACCAGGGGGCAAGTGTGGAGCAGAGCCCTCTGACTGGGTGCATGACTGCCTGCGGAGCGGCTGGGCAGCACTGCTGCCTCCTCTAACCTCTCAACAAGCAAGGTGGTGCCAGGACTGTCCTGCCCCTTGCCATGCAGAGGTGCATCTGCACAGGGGTCCAGTCAAGGAGCGGGTCCCTGGGGCAGCCACAGCCCCAACCCCATATCTTGCACCACAGCTCAAGTGGTGCCCAAGTAGCTGTGGAGTCCGGCGGCTCTTCCTCCCCTGTATCACGCTGGGATTCAGCCCCTGAGAAGCATCTCCCTGCTGGGCCATGGTCTGGCAGGGCAGGGACAGGCTGCAGGCTCAGGAGAGGTGCACCACAGTGTTTGTTGTCTAATCATCGCCTGCCCCCGTGCCAGGAGCCGAGCGCACACAAACAGTGCAGGGCTCCGGTGGGAAGCGCTGCCTGCGAGATAAGCCAGGCGAGGAAAACACATCCATCTTCATGTCTCTTGGCCTGAGACGAAGTTTCATCTGCTGGCATTTTCCTGGCGCAGGCTCAGGGCACACCACAATTCACCTGAGGAGCCAGACGCTGGGGAGCCAGCTCCAATTCCTGGCGAGAGGTGTCAGCCCCGACTGGTGCAGAGCACGAGGAGCTGGCAGGTGAGGCCCTGCGTGTGCTCGGAGATGGGTCCAGCCCTGCAGCAGCCTGGACCTGGCTGCATGTCACCAACAGTTGTGTTCATCACCTGAGCGAGAGGGTGAGAACAAAAAGCCTGTTCAGGCTCCCTGTGCCCAGCCGTGTAGAGCCGGGTTAAGAGCTTCCAGCTCGCTGCCTGGACGGAGCAGAAGTGGCTGGGAGATACAGAGCCGAGCAGAGACTCGATCCAGCCTGCGGCTGCTCCGTGCCTGATAAGGACGCTGCTAGTGCCGTCTTGCAGCGCTCTCGACCTGCCCGTGCGCCACAAATGAGACGTCCTGGTGAAGCGCCCCCCACCCCTTGGCTCCCTCTGATCCCCTCTGAAGCTGAGCGGAGCCTGGAATGTCTCCTGGGATGTGATTCCCTCTAGCCTAAGGGGAATTGCGTTAATAAACCCAGGTTGAGCGGTGGAGGCGAGGGAGGAGGAGGCAGGGCTGGGGAGATGAGACTCGCAAACAAGTCGCAGGTCTGATGGAAATGTCCCGTCCTGTCCTCTCACCCTCCCCCTGTCCCTGGAGCTGAGCTGTGGAATTCAGGGTGTGGGTCGAGGCTTTACTTCATGCACGTTTCTGCTCAGAGCAGCCAAGCCCCTCACCTCCCTCCCTCTCCTTCCTCCTCAGCAAACGCTGCTGAACTCACCTCCCTGCACCAGGTACCACTCCCCCAGCCCCTCTCAGCACAGCCTCGCCGTGATGGGACCCTCCTGCCCATCCACACTGCTCAGGCATCATCCTGCTGCCTGCCTTTGCCTGTGATGAGTGGGAGGTGTCCATCCCTGGGATGCACAGGCTGGCTTGGCAGGCCAGGGCCAGCAGTGGGAAGGGGAGAGTGCTCCCCACATCTCAGTATGACTGGGATGGATGTGTTCACAGCCGGGAGGGAGCTGGGCTTGTTGGTTCCCCAGCATCAGCGTAGTGCTGTGGGCTTGGACTGAATGAAGCTGTGTGGAGGCAGTAATGATGTGAGCCCTGAGGGAAGAGCGACAAGAGAGCAAGTGAACTCAGGCCAGAGGAGATAAATGGGAAGAGAAATCACGGAGGTGTGGGTTTTCATAGGTGAGTGCTCTCTTGGCTCCCATGGGATGCAAAGCCTCTGACAGTTGTTAATTTATGCAGCAGTGCTGCAGTGTCCTGCAGCTCTGACCCCATGCTGCCCTGGGTGCTGTGGGGAAGGGCACATCTGTGACCCATGCTGCATTGCCACTAATGAATGTCTGGCATAAACTGGCTGCTGGAACGTGGCAGAGCTTGATGCCCAAGGTACTTTCTCTTGGACAGCAATTGCTGGACTCTGAGACCACATCATCACAAACTCACTGCAGAACCCTCAGATCCAGGGAAGCACCCAGAGACCAACCTGAGCACCTCAAAGAACTGTCTTAAAGGAGCACCACGAGAGCTTGCACAAGGCTGGGAATGGATCCAGTACTGCATACACAGTGCCCAGCCCTTCCAGAGAGCTGAGGTGTTTGCTCAGACCACTGGTTTTGCAAAGACCAGGCTGTTTCTACAGGAGAGAATGTATGGACTGTTCCTACAGAGCAGCCCATGGATGGACTCTGTATTGAGCTCAGCACTTTATGGAGGATTGCAGCTGGAACAAGAACATTGTGGCAGAAATCATGTCAAACCAGAGCACACAACAAGATTTGCTTGTGCATTCGCAGGGGTTATTTACCCTCCATTTGAAAAGAAGACACCTCCATCTTCTTTTACAGAGGAAAAAGAAAGATGATCTCCAGTATTTAGTTTCCATCTGAGAAAAGATGCTGGAAGCTGGTGGCTGGAGAGCCTCAGAAGGGCAGGGAGAGCAGTGTGGTCATTAAAACTCAGGAGATGTTTTGGAGAGCTGAGACAAAGGACTCCAGTCACGGGTGGCTGTGAACGGCTCGTGTAGAGGCTGCAGCATCACGCAAGGTCTCTCTGGCTACCACAGGGGCTATGTCTTTGCTTGAGAAGGGGGAGATGGGGGAGGTAGTAACTGTAATATTCTAGTTCAAAGCAGTAGCTGTTCATGGGTTGATGCTAACAGCCTCCTAGAAGGTCATGGGTGCCTCTGCCTTACACAGACCCCATCCTGGCTTCTGTATTTGCTCACAAGTTGTTTTACTACAGACACCTCCCAGCCTGGAGCTGTGCTTGGGAAACCACCGTGCACAGCTCCTGCTTGCTGTGGCTGCACCAGGGAGCAGGGAACCAGACCAGGCAGGGAGCAGCTGTGTGACAGTGGAAGGGAATGGCCTCCGGGCAGGCATTTGGGTGAGGAGGAAATGCAAAGCCCATTGACCAGGACAGCACAGGTAACACAGGGAGCCTGTAAAGGTGTGAGATCCCTCCAGGGCCCGCTTAGCACCTGCTAAGGAGCACGTTATCTCCTGCTGGGGATGCCAGCTCGATGCTTTGGGCTCCCTGAACCTGCCTGGCAGATCCCAGGCAGAGCAGCGGCAGCAAAGGGCAGTGCCTCACTGTTCAGATCCTCCACGCACACCAAATCAACCTGTCCTGACTTCTTGGCTGCCCTGCTCATGGGGTGCTCTGCAGCCATGAACGAAATGAAACAAAAGCTCTGAGCTCAGGTTTGCTGCCTTGTCTCATATTTAGCAGGTGAATTCAGAGAGCTCACAGTACCTGTCATCCTCATTCTCTGAGGATACACCAGTGGTGTATCGACAGAGGTGATTTCTTGACTAGGTCTGACTGAGGAATCTGGGGACACAAAAGCCCTTCGTTTAGTTACAACCTATAGCATCAGCCTTCAGCTGGGATCAGAACAGGCCTCCAAGTGCACAAGCCCTGATGCTGGATGTGTGAATGTAAAGGAATTTGAACTTCCGAGATACAACTGCCACTGAGGAAGAGGGGATTTTGAAAAGTTCTCTTCCTGTTGCCTCTTCCTTCCTCACCTGGAGGTGAGAGCATCCTCATTCTACACTGGGTCACCGGGGGAGGTTTAAGTTGTGCAGGTAAACACAGAGATGTACCTACACCTCCCAAGACCCGTGGGCATGGCTGAAAGAAGCTGCTTTGGATGGGGAAGAGCTCTCCAAAACACCTGAGCAGGGCAGCCCCTGGGGTTATGATGTGAGTGTATTGAGGTCTGGAAGAGCCATCACACCAGAAGTGGGATAGCAGGAATGAGTTAAAATCCTTTTGTTTGCTGGGTGAAATTTATTGAAAACTACATTGTTCATCTGCTGAAACTTCACAGCTGTTGAGATTGCCCTGGGGGCAAACCACATCCAAGAAATGGCATGTAGATCCTGGGAGCACCAGACTTGAAAGCTGAGACGGCCTCTGTAGTGCTGCCTCCCCTTCCCGCGGAGTCACGTCCAGCCATCTGCAGCTCCTCTGCCCAGACACCATTTCTCTTCCTCCCTTTTCTCATCTCTGACTCTTGCCAGAAGTCACTTCATTCCAGGCGTTGTATTTTGGCTAAAAAGAGACAGAGGAAGGATGCAGACAGCAAGAGGTCTGTGTGGGGAGGGTGTGCTCAAAGCCCATCATGCCCAGCCTGACACAGGGCTGTGTGCCAAGCTGCTGTGGCAGGGCCATCAAATGCCACCTACCTGTGACACCACCACTTTGTTACCCCTCAGGGGAACATCAGTGAGGCAGGACCATGGGAAATATGCCCCTTTGCTCAGGAGAAATCTGTGCATTCCACTTGATGGTAGCAACTTTCCCGTTTCATTTTTATTTGATTATTTGAAGTCGAAACTTCTGCTTGCAGAAAACTGTCTAGGATGAAAAAGCAGTGCTTGTGTATTCACGTCTGTCCTGAAAGCTCTGTGTGGACTTGGGAGACTGAAACCCACCACTCGGCACAAAGCAAAATCAGGACTAGCCAGAGCTCAAAGATGAAAATTAAAGCAGGACACAAGAAACCCACTGACTGCAATACATTCAGTCATAGATGATTCATGGTGTAATTCTGGGTAGCAACACACTGGTAAGAACTGGAGATTTGTTTCTTTTCTTGTTTTTTTTAGGGGGGAGGGATTGTCCACAAACAAAAATATTGGCTAATTCATCAGACGCTTTTCTTCTGCTTTGAATAGTGTGCCCAGATCCCCGAGCAATCATCCCATGCAATTTGCTGTTAACCTAAATAACTTAAATTCAGGTA